GCATTCATAAAATAGTAATTCATTTTCATTCAAGCAGGAGTCTAAGGAACTGTAATCTGCAAGGAAAAGTACCTGATCTCAGTGGCATACGAAGCCTTCTCTTTTTGTACGTCTATAAGGTCCATTTAGAAATCAGTCACAATGTGACGTGACATCAGTGCAAGTCTTGCATTGATGGGAAAAAAATAAACCTGGCCTGTTTTGTTCTTGAATATAATAGTTTTCTTCCCGTTACAGAGATCTTAGCAAGAATCAACTTACTGGAAACATACCAGTAAACAGACTTTCTGAGAATATCACAACCATGTAAGTAACATTCTGTATGCTGCCATTTTGAGATATTATAGCACTTTATGCTAATGCATCGCTTCATTGTATGACATTTTTCCAGTAATCTGTCAAAGAATCAGTTTAACGGATCTATTCCCTCCAATTTCTCTGGACTTCCTCATCTCCAGAAACTGTAAAGAATTGCAGCTTTTTAGACTTTTTTCCGTTCTCAAGATTGTTGATTTTTCTCATTAGTCTTGTGCTTGAGAATAATGGGGTTCTTTCCATAGGAGGTTGAATAATAATTTGCTGAGCGGATCTGTTCCATCTACCATTTGGAAGGATAGAATTTTTACTTCTGACTCAAAACTTGAAATGTAAGTTTTGAAAACATCATTTTTTTTGTCTGCACAAAACACGTCTTCTCAATTGTCAAATTTGAGCAATTATTTCAGTATACAAAAATGCCCGCTATCTATGCTTTTCTGACGAAGGTATCTAAGTTTACTTGATCTGGAATATCACTTTGCAGAAATTTTCAAGACAACCTCCTTTCGGATATTTCTGGTGTCCTGGAAGTCCCTCCAAATGTGACATTAATGTGAGTCTCTATTTGTATATATTATCATTATCAGTTTTATTACCTATATTAGTTCCTCTGTTCCTCGAGCAACTAAAAATGGAAACATGAACAAATTTGTTAGTAGCAGAACAATGGTTACATAATCGTATGACATTCTGATGAATCCCAAATGTTGAAATTTCAGGCTTCATGGAAATCCTGTTTGTCGAAATGCAACTCAGAGGAACATCGGTCATCTTTGTGGGTCTGATAACGGAGATGAAAATACAGCCACCGTGAACAAGCCAGTGCTAACTTGTCCATCTTCTTGTCCTACTTACTACGAATATATCCCAGGATTACCGGATAAATGCTTTTGTGCAATACCTTTTGGAGTTGGACTCCGGCTGAGAAGTCCTAGCATATCCGACTTTCCTCCATACCGAGATCAATTCAACGAGTTCATAACAGGAAATGTTAAGTTGTATCCTTATCAGCTTTTCATTGACTCACTAGCTTGGGAAGAGGGTCCAAGGCTAAGAATGTTCTTGAAGTTCTTCCCTCAGTTAAACAATGATTCTCATACATTTAACGATAGTGAGATTCAACGGATTACAGACATATTTGCTACCTTCGTTATACCTGGGAATGATACATTTGGCCCTTATGATCTGCTTAATTTTACTGTCAGTGGACCTTATTTGTACGGTAAGCCAATTTTTACTGATACTCTCAGTTAAAGCAATCCTTGCTCTATTTAAAGCAATCTTCGCTCTAAAGTTGGATTGAATTGAATTGAAAACTCTTGTTACTGTAGTGCCACTCCCATCTTTAAAGGGTAAAGGAATAAGCAAAGGCGCCTTGGCTGGAATTGTGGTGGGGTCCATCGTCTGTGCCAGCATGGTACTTTTAGGTGTCGTACTTTTATTCTTAAAGAAGCATCAGCTGCTCCCACTCAATGCTGTGAAAGATAAATCATGTGTGTCGCGCTTTATTATTCTCATTAACAGTTCTTTTATTTATTGAGTTACATTAGACATGATTTCGATCCATACTTCAATGTTTGTTTGTTAGACGGAAAAGTTACAATAATAATGGATGGAGTGAAGGCATTCGGCTTTAAAGAGTTGCAAGCAGCAACAAGCAGATTTAGCATTGCTACTCAAGTTGGCGAAGGAGGATACGGAAAGGTCTTTAAAGGTACTTTAGCAGATGGCACAGTTGTCGCTATAAAGCGTGCGCAACAAGGTTCTTTGCAGGGTGACAAAGAGTTCTACACCGAGATAGAAATGTTGTCTCGTTTACATCACAAAAATCTGGTTTCATTAGTCGGATATTGTGATGAGGACGAGGAACAGGTACAATTCAATCTCAAATATATCTTACCGTATATCAGTACTTGTTCATTTAGTTCACAAATATTGTGTTATTAAACTTGGAGTGAACTTATGTTGATCAGTTCATGAAATGAACTTCATCTAATATTAGTTTATTCTTTCTCGTCTTGTTTGTGCATACAGATGTTGGTGTATGAGTTCATGCCAAATGGCTCATTACATGACCTCCTATCTGGTAATGATCCATTCTACTCATTGCCTGTATTTCTACTCGATATTGTTTATTCAGTTACTCAATTTCTTGGTGAATCTAGATCCTAAATTTATGTTTTCAAGTAAAAATTTTGCTCTTGTTAACAGCTAGATATAGATCACCTCTAAGTTTTGCGACAAGATTGCATATTGCACTAGGTTCGGCAAGAGGCATTCTTTACCTCCATACAGAAGCTGATCCCCCTATCATTCATCGTGATATCAAGGCAAACAACATATTGTTGGACTCCAAGTGGACAGCTAAAGTATCTGATTTTGGAATCTCGAGGCTTGCACCAGTATCAAATGTAAAAGGAGTTACAGAAGCACATATCTCCACCAATGTGAAAGGAACACCGGTAAGATGAACTCTACCTATGCATTCAGGGACTTCATAAAAAAATTAAAATGAACAGACAAAATGGTTAGTACCCAGTAAATATTGGGCTGTCTACAAGAACTTTATTTTTGCCACTGCACTAGGTTTCATGTCATAACTTCATCAAAAAAGTTTATCCTAGATGTGAAGCGACTAAAACCCTCCTTTACCTAGCTTCGGACTGACCGAAAAACAATAATTTGTTTCTAACTCAATGAGATCCCTTAAGAGAGCAACTCAAGAGGATCACTACGAGATTGATGGAATGATGTTCAAGCGATAAATTGTTTAGACAGTTTTAATATTCTTCATGGACATCATTCTCTTAAAAATTTGACTCAAGCATTGGACCTAACAACAAATAGAAGTACAGTACATAAGTAATTTTAAGATGACTATAATTGCCAGAGGGTGTCAAGCATAGTTATTTGAGGAATTGTATCTTAGAAATTTACTCGATGAAACTTTCAAGCTGCATATTTAGGTTGATTAATTTCTCTTACCGTCCTGGTAACAACAATTATTTTAGCATTCTGTTTTCATATCCCTTTGGTATTAAAACAATGTTTTTACTTATATGCAGGGTTATCTTGATCCAGAATACTTTTTGACCCACAAGTTAACAGAGAAAAGCGATGTTTATAGCCTTGGTGTAGTATTTCTAGAACTCTTAACAGGGATGCAGCCTATATCTCATGGAAGGAACCTTGTGAGAGAGGTATCTCTGGATTTCATTATGCTATCATATAAACCCTATTGAGGATTTCATAATAAAGTTGTCTATATTCATTTTTAAGATCATATGCTTGCTTGATGGGATGAATGAGAAAGTTCATACAGTAGATTTATGAATTTCTAACTTGGGTGAACACGCATTACAAGCATTCAAGTTCTTGCTTTGTCTTTTATCACATCATCTCATTAATTTCCACAATATGTACTTACAGGTTAACATAGCATGTCAATTTGGAACGATGTTGTCCCTCATAGACGAGAGTATGTGGCCATATCCTTCAGACTGTATAAAGAAATTTATGCAATTGGCCATCAGGTGTTCCAAAGATGAAACAAAGGATAGACCTTCTATGTTGGAAGTGGTGAGAGAGCTCGAAAACATATCTTCAGCACTTCCAGAATGTGACAACACTGCATTGGAGTTAAACTTAAATACCATAACTTCTGAATCCTCACCCTCGGCCTCAGCTCCACCTTCTTCAGTCTACTCTAAAACTCATACTCATGTCTCCAACAATCTCCCTGGAAGTAACCTTGTTAGTGGTTGCTTCCCTACCATCAAGCCTCGTTGATCAGTTCAATAATGATCATAGATCAGTTGCACTCTTTCAAACAGTGATTGTTTAAAAGTCTGTATTTCTTTTCATATTCTTCAAATTTGTCCATATGGTTCTTAGCCTGTAAACTTTAACAATGCCGTCAGGTTAAAGAAAATGCTTGCTGTAATTTTACGTTTATTATGTCCTGTCCACTTTCATTTGAAGAAACCTGAATGGCACTGCCCTTCAAAAGTGATATCCAATGTTTTTAACATCACATAGATGTTTAAGGATGGTATTCCTCGTACTATATTACCTCGACAAAATTCCCATTAGTGTTTTAAAATTTAGAATAATACTTCATCATTTTAGGCTATGTTTTCATCTTTTTACCTAAAATATGTCATTTATACACTAGCATTCTCACACTCACATTTCCCATAAAATTTTAGGTTATAGAACCCCATTGCTTGGCCCCCAACATAACTGGAAGCTTCTACACTCTTGGCTTTTCAATTAGAATTCTATATATAGTCGTGTTTTTACCTAAATTAAGTATGTCATTTAAACACTAGCATTCTCACACTCAACATTTCCCATAAAATTTTAGGTTCTCGAACCCGTTGCTTGGCCTCCAACATAACTGGAAGCTTCTACACTAGGCTTTCAATAAGAGTTCTATATGTAGTGTTAGAAATAACATCAATATGATGCTTCATGTAAGTCTTTCACATTAATTTAAAATCTCGTGGTGAGATCAGATTATCGTCATGTCCTATCAATGCATGAATTCAAACCCAAGTGCGAATTGATAGGTTAGGGATCAAATAATGACAACATATACTATCGTTCCTCATTTAAAAAAAAAGAAGAAGAAGAAGCAAATATTATTTTTATTAATGATTAAATGATAGAATAAAGGGAGATTACTTGGAAGTAGGCTCGCTTTGCAATTCACCAGCCTCATCCACCAGCTCCTCTTTCTCTTCGGCTGATCCTTCATCGATAGTACCTACCTCATTTTGATCAACACTCTGTGATCCCGTCAACCTCGCCAATATCATAAATGACATTCCTCCAAGAATATTGTTCAAGCATCTTAAAACCACGATCGAGGACTTAAATACCACTGGTGAAACTCCCTTGGCTAGCAAAAACTCAATCCCATTCAAAGTCTGGTATCTAAAATTACTGCTGAAACCCATGTGAATCGACCAAGTAATAGCATTCAAAACCGTTGGTGGAGGCTTATTTAGTGTCTTGAAATTCAAATCCATCTTCTTCCTCATCATTATCAACCCGTTGGAAAGAGCAGTTCCAAAAAGCCCAGCAGTAAATCCAACGGCAGCGAACAAAGTCCCTTTGTATACAAATGTACCAAGCTTGTTCAAAAGACTGTAAGCCCCTGGCTCGAACATGTGGCTCGTAGGAGAACTCGCGAAGATTGCAGGAAGACTCTGGCTCGATGAAGAGATAGTTGGAGCCAAGAGATACATGAGAACAAAATTCATAATTGAACCAACAACAAGAGTAGAAAACACAAAATCAAGCTCATTGAGACCAAAATTGGGACGTGATGCCATATCGCCAAGAACACAAGAGCTAACACCAACTAACTCCTCCATAAGAACCTTAAAAGGGAATTGTGGATCAGCCAAAACTCTCGACCTCCACCCATTCACAACTGCCCCAAAGACTCGGATTCATCCGAGTCACCACCATGATACCAACCTCCATTATCACTATATCCACCACTACCACCGCCCTGTCCAACACCAGTATCACCGCCACCACCAGGGGTATTTGTGAATATGACGCAGTCAAAGCACCATAATTTCACTTTAACTTTTACAATTGACAATA